TCTTCAACCTGAAAAATCAGGGGTTAGGATTTGCACCCGGTCGAAAGAAACCTTGCTATCGCAAGAGTAACTCCAGCTAGCTTCGCTAGCTTTCGTGATAACTATATATATGTTGTGTTCAAAATGTGTCCGGGTGAGGAGAATCTTATCCGCCAGAAATACAAAGGATCACAGGGAACCCAAGCATCAATTGAGTTTGGAACTTGATTAAATTCAATATAGGTTTCTTTTTTGTTAGAACTCAATGCAAATCTACTTCTTCTACTTTGAATTCATTTTCCAATTTAATTTCTATGCAGTTTATGTTTTCAATCTAATATAATTCTAGTGTTTTTCAATCGACTTTGTTTTTAATGCAGTTCTAACTTTCTTCTGAAAAAAATTGAACTGAGTTCATAAAAGTAGACCAATGCTTGTTTAATTCTATTGAACTCTAATTTAATTCTCATTTAAGTCTAATTTGAATTTGAGCCAAACTGAATTGTGTTTTAATTCTGCTTTGAGTTTTGAGTTTACCTCTACTCTAAAATCTGACTTGGTCGCGTCTAATTGATGTCGAGTTTAAATTCCATGTCAATCTCCAATTTGATGTTAATTCAATTCAAATTAAAAAGCAAAAAAAAAACTGCAGACCCCATGGCCAAAGAATTTGTTGATGTGTTTGCAAACTTGAAAACGAACAAAACCTTGAGAAAACAAAAAACAAAAACACAAAACTGCGCACCCTATGTCTGAAGTCTTGGGATGGTTCATGGGTTTGCAGTTTTGTTTTTTGTTTCTTTCAAGTTTTCTCCAGAACCTCGAGAAAACCAAAGAAAGATGAAAAACACAAAACTGCACACCCTATGTCTGAAGTCTTGGGATGGTTCATGGGGTCTGCAGTTTTGTTTTTTGTTTTCTTAAGGTTTTGAAGTTTTGTTCTGTTTGAGGTGTTTGGTTTTTGTGAATTGTATTGATTGTAAGCAGCGAACAATGCTCACAAAGACACTGTTTTGCGCACGCTGGTGGTAGCCTGTTCTGATTACCAGTGCCTCTATCACTCCGACCCCCACTACGAGTCTTACCACAGTTACCGCAACTACTACCTTCTTTGCGTTGACGCTGCCACAAAGGTGGATGATAAGGCCCACCTTCACCTAGCGTGACAGCCAGAAACCTTCGCTTAGTAGGAGGCGCTGTGCCCTACCCCTACTACTTCTACTACTATTTCTACTACGACTACTACTACTACTACTTCTTCTATTTCTACCACTACTACTACTACTACTACTGCTGCTGCTGCTACTACTACTACTACTGCTACAACAGCAACAACAACAACTACAACAACTACTACTACTACTACTGACTTCTACTACTCCTGACTACTGATACTACTACTACTACTGCTGCTGCTGCTGCTACTACTACTACTGACTTCTACTAATACTGACTACTGACTACTACGACTACTACGACTACGACTACTACTACTACTACTACTGCTACTACTACTACTACTACTACTACTGCTACTACTACTGTCCTTTTCCCATTCTCCTTTTCCTCGCTGTGAGCACGTCTATTTTTGATATGTTTCATTTTTCTTTTTGACTCCTCTTGAGACTTTTTGACGCTGATCTTTATATTGTTTGATCCCTCACCCCCGAGAGATTTCAATTCGTCTATGCATTTCTCTTTCCAAGCGAGTTGATTTCGATATACATTGGTGGTCTGCACCCCACTTGAGTTTAGCGTTCTCGGACCCTGGCCATTTTTTTGACATTCATGAATGATAATTGAAATAGAATTAACATCTATTTACAGTAGAACTGAATCAAACTGATATTGAAATGAACCACATACAAGTGTTAAAAGTAAATACTTAATTCAAACAATTAAAACATAATTGAAAGAAACTACTTACCAGCTACAAATAATGCAAAACCTTACAGCATCACAACTTTCACAATCCTATCAACGTCATTTCATCAACAAATACATCAACGCCTTGCAACATCACAACTTTCACAACTCCACCCCCCTCTTGAATTTTATTGCATATTTATATGTTCCTCCTATGCTGTATAATTATTTTGCTGTGTTGAATATATAAGTGAATCCATCAAAAAACCGCACGCTCACAGTGGCCAGCTCTCTAATAGTAGGGGTAGTGGACGGTAGTGGGAACTACAGTATTTAAAAAACATAGTGGGAGGGGTTCCGGGGGAGGGCGCAGCGCCTCCCCCGCAATGCAAATCAAGCATAGACACCGCTGGGCTGCTTCGTTTCTTGATTGGTTTAACTGAATGTCAAAGCTCAAGGTGAAGGTCCTATCATCCAACTTCGTGGGGTTGTCAGAGCTGAGCCTACACGTTCATTCACCTTTGTGGCGCTGGCACAGCTAAGCTTTAAGCGAAGGTGGGCCTTATCATCCTCCGGCGTTGTCACGGCTAGGCGAAGGTGGGCCTTATCATCTACCTTTGTGGCAGTGTCAGTGCAAAGAAGATAGTAGTTGTGGTACCTGTGGTAAGACTCGTAGTGGGGTGGTCGGGGTGATAGAGGCACTGGCAATAGCAGGGTAGTGGAAACTATTTAAAAAGTGAGACCAGCGGACTAGGAGACCAAGGGACTAGGTCTAGGTGCCCACGACCGAAGGAGCAGGGGACCAGCCGAGTAGGAGAGCAAGAGACCAGCGGACCAGGAGACCGAAGGACCAGAGGACCAAAGGACCAGCGGACCAAAGGACCAGAGGACCAGGGGACCTAGTCAGGAAGCTGTTTTTTGATCCTGTTCTTTTCTTTATTGATCCTGTTATTTTGTCTTTTTGATAATGTTCTTTTTGTTGATCCTGATGCCATCTCTGGGCCACTCGCTTGGTCCTCCCCGCCTCGCTTCCGGCGGGCGAACGAATCTCGCTGACGAGCCAAGTAGGGACGCCGGTGAAGGGAAGCCGTTTGGGCCGAACCCGTGGACAAAAAAAAACAACTGATTCTAGGATTGATGGGCGCCCGATCCATCCATCACGAAACAACTGTTCACTGACACCGGCTCAAGGTTTATGATGGTTTATCTCTTTTTGAAGAGCGATATAGATAGAAAATTGATGAAAATTGCATATAAACCGCAAGACCAACCACAAAAAGCATGGGCAACTCATCACGCCCCTGCAAAAATGAAGAACGGACCTAAGTAGTCCATTGGTCCTTCAACCATGCCGCGACCAAAACAGTCTTCCGAATGACTTCGCCTCCAGAACGTCTGTGGGAACTGTTTTCGTCTTCGCAACCCTTGTGCGACCCCAAAGGATTTTTCAACCTGTTGGATGGTGTTGTCGGTGTTATGGTGTATTAGATTCGTGTGAGAGATAGCGTGTTTTTCCCACACTCACGACGGTCCAAGGGGGACGTGTGATTCTTGCCGCGCAAAAGTGTAGCACTTGGTGAGGTCGATTGGGTGTGCGTGGCCCTGTCATTGGGATGGCGTTCCCAAGTGCAAATTTTTCTTCTTTTGGTGGTCCTCTGGTCAATTTTCGTGGCAGGCGCGGTACTTTCTGCGTGTTGCGAGGTGGTTTTCGAGTGTTCGTGGCAGGTGCGAAGTTGAGACATTTGGCGCAGACTGCTGCGCCGTTGGGATGGGCGCGACACGAAGTGTTGTATGAAACGCTCGTTTTGGACACCTGACACGTCACTCGGGGGAAGTCTACT